TTTTTTTTTTTTTTTTTTGGGTGGTGATAAATTACGAAATTATAGTTTGTTTTTATTATTATTTTTTTTAGATTTGAGCTTTCATTTTTTTTTTTACTGAAATTGAAATAAATATGACAAAAAAATTTTGGCAGTTCTTTTGTTGTTGCTTTACATATTCTTTACTTTTAGTATAATTGTACTTGCGGGTTATTAAAAATAACATGGCATGGTGTCATTCAACTGTACATAAGTTGTACATATAAGAATATATTTTGTCAACTTTTTTTGGTACATTTTATGTGTTCTTGAGTTTAAATAAACAAGCAATAACTAACATTCATATACTTCAGTTGATTTTTAAGAAAATATTTTGGTAAAACTACATGGATGTTTAATACACGGTGTTACATACATTAGTTAAACACGTTAATACTGAAGCGTAATATCCAATATGTGCGTATGTCTCTGTTTATGTAAACTTAAGATCGAATATAAAAATCGGAAGAAACAAACAGTTTCAAGCAGTGCAATTTGAATGGATAACCTCGTGCAACTAAAAAATCTAAAAAACACAATTTTCAAACATTGAAGTTCAAAAGACAAAAGTGAAAACAATCCAACATAAACGTAAGGCCAATAGTAACAACATCGTCCAACTCTCCGTACACTAAAGACAAAAAATATTCCATCAAAAGGTAGTCAGATTCTAACTAACAGACATGAGCTTTCCATGCTCTACATCATCAAGCATCCCAGGAGATTCATCTTCGCTTTCACACGAATTTTCTTGCTTCATACGACCATGTTGATAGAGCAAGTATGAGTACCTCATCCTCTCCGTGTCTGGATCAGTCGTTCGGGAGATCAATCTGAGTGATGAAATGGGGTAGCCACAATGTTGGATTAGTTGTACATATATATACATAAGATAAACAACATATATACATTTTTTATTATGCGAGAACCTTATAAAATGACAACAAAAATTGTATATATATACATAAGATAAACAACATATAAACTTTTCTCAAACGCATTATATTTATAACATGACGACAAAAACTGAACACACACACACACATATACATAATATAAACAATATATAAACATTGATGAAATTCAATATACATCTATAACATGATACTAATATTTAACGACACCAAAATCCTAGAAGACGACGGTGGTGTTGGATAGTCGGGTTCAATGCCTCCAACAACATCCTCAAAATTGACGACACCAAAATTGGAAAAACAACAAGAAGACATACTCCGACGCGAGAGAAGAGAGGAGGATCGTCGGGCTCGCCGGACGCTATCAGTCCGTATTCTTTGAACGACTGATGAATTTTCAGTGAGAGGTTAGCAATAGCAGAACGCCGTCTCATCCTCGACGGGTCAGACGCCGCGAAATTTTGACGAGGCGGCAGTTGTGAAAGGTGGATGCAACAGCAGAGGCACGCTGTCATGATATGGAGATCGGGCCGCGAGCGGAGACCGGAGATGCGGGAGTGAATTTCGCCGGCAGAGATTCTTCAGCATCGTTGAAGACGGACGCTGCGAAAATTGACCAGACGGCGGAGGAAGATGAGTTCTTGCAAAAATTGACCAGGCGACATATGGAGATATGGAAAGATATGTATTTAATCAAGGTATGGAAAGAGAGTAACTCATCAGATATGGAGAAATCGAGATATGGAAAGCGAGTAATTCATCAAATTTGATTTAAATGAAGTCTCGTATTTATGCAATAAAAATCACAATAGAATCCTTTATTGATTAAACTTTACAATTGTTGTATATATGTAAATATATATACATAAGACTACATGTACGTATTTTTCCCAAAACTTTATGACATGACAGTCCAAACTACAAACTGAGTGTCTATTCTCTAATGACCAAAATGGGACCATGCTATTATTGGGCTTAGTAAAATTGGGCCTAATGGTAGGAGAATAAGTAAGTTTGCAATCCTTGTGGGTTTTAGACCCATGTAAACATTTTTATTTGAGCTTCATACTATTGGGCCAAACATCTGTTCTTGCAATTATATGACCGTATAAATTAAGCCGATCATACGATATAACGGCTAACAATAGTAGTAGAATACACCACCAATAGTCTAAACCGGTTTTTATATGAAACCAACAATTTGTTCCATAGTTGAGCTAACCATCTATACACAACAAGTTACTATATTTTTTTCTTATTTAAATAATACTAATATAATTTATTAATATGGTATGGTTTACTGGCTGCAGATAGAAGATTGGCTCCACTATGAAGCCAACTATTGACTTCATAGTAAAATCGTAGTCTAAACTCTTAGTATATATAATGTAAATCACAATCAATAAAACCATTGTTAGACAACTATATTTAAAAAAAAAAATAACATAAATTCAATTATGACATTTCATAATACAAGTACTTAATCCGTTTAACATCTAGTCGTCTCATGCACTAATTTGAAAATCACATGTTTTCTTTTCTTACAAAGGTGGACCTAGACATGGCCAAAATCCGGGTCGGGTCACGACCCGGCCCGGCCCGCCGGGTCGAAGGGTTGGGTATGGCGGACCCTGAACCGGCACGGCTTAGGTCTGTGCCGG